GGTCTTAATTTCCTTTTATTTCAAAGTTACTGAGTCTGAAATCACAAACTTTTGTCTTCTACTTATATGAAACATACAGGTAATTTACGAGTAGGTAGGTCCCTGCTAGTTGCTTTCTTGTTGAAAAGTCAAGGAAATGGAAGTTTCTTGGAGGTTTCTATCTTTCTTCTCTCTTACTATTCGGTATGAAAGCAATTTTCAATGCACATACCACAGGGGAATCCGTGTTGGGTCATCCCGACCCCTTTGATCCACCTACTACTACTTCTGCGTCAATGCTTGCCAGCTTCTTAGAAGATGCCCTTGCAGTCAAAGTAAAAATTGATGGCATTGATATTGGAGGAAATATAATAAAACAAAGGCGTAATTATTAGCGAAAATAGAGAGTTAGCTGAGCTCCTTTTCTTCTCCGTTCTCCAAATCACTAATTAAGGATAAGCACAGATCTGGTAAGAGAAAAGATAAGAGGGACGATGAAATTCGAATAGAGAGTAGTAGTAGTAGTGGAAACTGATTTTTCCTTTCCTTTCTTTGTGGGTAGAAGTAGTAGTAGAAGAAACTGATTTAACCCCTTTTTTTGTCTCTTTCCTTTCTTTGTGGGTAGTAGTAGTAGTAGAAACTGATTTAACCCCTTTTTTTTTGTCTCTTTCCTTTCTTTGTGGGTAGTAGTAGTAGAAGTAGAAACTGAATTTAACCCTTTTTTTTGTCTCTTTCCTTTCTGTGGGTGTCATTTTCACTTTAGGGGAAAAGGACAGGCCAATTACAACAATTATAGGTTGTAAGCCTGTTATTTTCTCGTCTTGCCTTATTTGGAGGTAAAAGTTTACTTTTAGTCCTTTATTTTATCAAGTTTGAAAATTTTAACTTATTACTTTATATTATAATATTTTAATCATTTACCTTATTAGATTTGTAAGTTTTAGTTCCTCACCTTATACTGTGACACTTTTAACCCCTTACCTATTAAAATTAAAAAAAATAACCCTCATTTTGTAACATTTTGTTAATTTTGTTAGCTGACTGTTAATTCTATTAATTGATTATTAGTTGACTGTTAATTTACAGAAATCTTCTTTCAACTAATAAAGTTAACAGAACTAATATGATAATATTTCGTTAATTCTGTTAAGTAACTATTAGTTGACTGTTAGTTAATAAAAACCTACTTTCAGCTTATAGAGTTAACTATCAGTATAAAGTGAGGGTTATTTTCTTTAATTTTAAAAGGTGAGGGGTTAAAACTTATAAATTTAATAAGGTGAGGTGTTAAAAGTGTCATAGTATAAGATGATGGGTTAAAACTTTTAAACTTGGTAAGGTGAGGGGCTAAAAGTAAGTTTTTGCCTTATTTGGATTGCTCTTCTAAAACTTGTTCTTTGGGTTTATCATTTGTGTCAATTTAGTTTGTTGTTCTACTCTGTATCTTTGTCATTGTCTATGGGTAACTCTTCTGTAATTTATTCTCTCATATCTTGGAATTTGACTGTTACCTAACACATTAATTTGTTACCACCTCTCTTGATGATGCATTATTTACTTTTTTTTGTGCCCCATTTTTGATCCATGGATGCTTCATAACGTTTCTAGATAAGGCTTCAACTGCATTCATTGAGCCTCTCCCTGTAATAGCGTTTGTTGCCCAAGATCCGGCCAAGGATGTACCCATTGTCTTATTCTGATCTAGTGAAGGTACTTTTTTCTTTTATTTTTCTTCATGCTTGTGCCTGGCTTCTTTCTCGAGGCAAATTTAATTACATTCTACTTTCAAACTACCACCAGGTTAAAAAGGCCCTTAGAGGAGTGAAAGTTGAGCAACCCACAGAGGGAATGTATGGAGAAAATACCGTGTTTCAGGATTGATATCTCAACCTACCAGTGAACTAGTGTGAGTTTCAACTCTCTCTCTGAATTTCTTGTTAATGAAGAATTATTGAAGTAATCATTAGAGGCAATTTATTAGCTACAATGAAATTGCAACTAAAAGGCATACTTGTATTTTTCCTTTTTCTGAGGAAATGAAAGATTTTGATTTGTAGTGGTAATCTATACAGGTTTCCTGTGGATGATAACTCAACAATGAAGTTAGTTTGTCGAATACTTCCAGGAGATGTATGGCTTCACCATTCAGTGCACAAATTTACCTTGCTAATAGACATGTATTTGAGGTTAATTAGCCATCAAATGTGAAATCATATATTTTTATTCGTTACATGGATTGGTTTTCTTGATTTTTCCCCCCCAAATGTTTCAATGCTGCCTCTCTGGTTCATATTTTTCTTTTGTTGTGCAAGGTTAGTTCTTGTTCTTTACTAGGTTGGGTTTTTGGGAATTTGAAGTTGATATTTGACTGAGCTTAAACAAAATTGTCAAGAGCAAGGTCCAAGTCTAAAGTTTAACAGCAAATTTACAGCAAACATAAGTTTAGCAGTAAATTTACAGCAAACAAATTATTTTAATCTTTCTAGGAACCAAGACATTATTTTAATTGTCAAGAGGAAGCTTCATTTACTCATTTCTCTTTGTGTCAAGTTTGTATCTTTTACCAAAGGTTTATCTCGAATTTCAATCTAGGAATCCATGAAACAAGTGATTTAGGCTAACTTTTATATTAATTATTTTGGTGGCTTGAATATGTTAATTTCATCATTAACTTTTTTTTTTTCCAGTTTTGTTCTTCAAGATTCAATAGGATAGTTTTTCTTCTTTATGAATTATTTTGAAAAAGTTAACTTTAGATTGTTATTTTTATATTTATATAAGTAGAGTATTTTTTGTGGACATTTTAATCAATTAATTTGATAAATTAAGATATTTTTAAATTTAAGGACATTATTTTCCATGTAAACTAATTTTAGTAACTTTGAAAATTTTTAAATATTTTGAATTATAAACATTTTTACTTACGTATAAATTATGAAAATTATTTCATAGAATCTTACTCATTGCGCATTTCTTATAAAATACTGAATATAAGATAAGATTTTTATTATTTTCTCTGATCCAATTTAATCTCATCTTGTATTATAAACGTGCCCTTAAGATAAAAGCAAAAGTGATCTGCTCCATCCCATCTCTCAAGTTCAATAAAATTTTCCTCTATTCAAAACCTAAAACAGCTGTATTTAATCATTAAGTAGCTGATCTTGCCAGCTACTTGGAAGTTTGCCCTTGCAGTCAAAGTCTTAATAGTTAAAACTGCCATTGATATTGGAAGAAATATTTACATTAAGACAAAAAATAAGAAAAAAAAAAAAAGAAAAGAAAAGAAGAGAAAGGAAGGAAGATAACAGCAAGGCAAGAATGACTGGGAATTTGATAACGCCATTTAATTTTGGATAGGAATTGCATCACTCTATTCATCAATACAAAAACAGGAAATACCTTTTTCCTTCCCAAACTCATCTCTACGTACCAATTTCTAGTTCTGTGTCCGACATCGATCCTGCAACTGAGATTGATTCAACCAATTCTACACTATATCTGTTGAAGGAGTTAGAGTATTCTTCAAGATCCGCAAAAGGGTTATGGCATTTTTTAAGATCCGCAAAAGAAACACGAAATGATACATCTTCATAGGTATAGCCAGCATGTGGATTGTCAGCCTTGATAACCAAGTCGGCTTTCTCCTGCAGCTCCAATGCAAGTTCTAAGGTTACCTCAACTTCTCCCATTGAAGGCCGTTCATTTGGATTTGGATGAATACAAC